TGTACCAGATCTAACAGGTCCTTACTCTATTAATCTACTGTAAGTAGCTATAATACCTTTTTTACACATAGCACTTTTTTTGGTGTCACGCGTCGAAACAAATCTTATCTTATGCATTCCTTTCGAGCAGCAAGGTGAACGTGTTAGCGATATAGTTAACTCGAGATGAACTCGTCTCCACGAGCAAACATGTTACGTTTAAACAAAAGACAACTTCAAAACACATTTAAAAGTACTGAAACTCCAACTTGTTATTTCAAATCCGACAAAAAATAAAAAAAACCCACTCCTAAAAAATTCCTTCCTCCCACAAAACATTAGAATTTAACCTTCATCCATGTTCACAAACTGAAAAAAGAAGTAAATCAGCAATCCCGTTAAATCCGGTTACCATGACGTCATTTTTGTTAATGGTTTCTTCAATAAAAGTGGCAAGGATAGTTGTTTTCGAAACAGGGGAAATTCTGGCACCTACTGTATATCTATATATAATAAAGTTTACACAAAACACTTGGATCAATCTATCGGTTAATCACTCCATCGATATATCTAAAATAAAAATTGAAAAAAAATGAGTGAAACAACTGAACATGTAGCTTGTAGTGCATGGGTGTGGCCAACATATGGGTAAGTTTTTTTATGATCTTATTCAACAAAAATTCATATCAGCACAGGAGGATATATTCTCTCGATCAGCATCAGCAATTCGAACTTCACTTGCTTAGACTCTTACATTCGTCTCAGAAAACTACAACACAATCGAATCACAGATTTATCGAGAACTGTTACATCTGGAATTGGACAAATGTACGAACTGTAAGTATTTGATCTATATTAAACTGAATGTTTAATTTAGGTTATTTGCCAAGAAACCAGCTTTTTTTTCCTCTGGATGCCTTGGGTTATAATAGAGTTTGCTATAGCTCTACTAACGTTTGAAAAATGTTTTTTCTCTTGTAGATTGTTGGACAACAATAAAATTGATCACCTTCCACCAAACATGTTTCAGGATACTAACGTAAGCGGAAACATGTGAGTAACAGAAATTACAACTGTAAACGAAGTCACGCGTAATTGCTTTCAGTATTTATTTAGAAACGTTCTCTCGCTTACGGTACTAAACATGAGCAGGAAAATACAGATTAGAGAACGAAAACTAACAAAAAGTTAACAATAAAGAAAAATATTTAACTTAACGGTGTATAGCTTTACCAGAAAAAAACGAAAACGAGGACGCTTCTCCTTAAAACCTGACAAATTACCTAACATAGTTACATAACATTACGCAACGGTACAGACATCAATCACGAGTACACAATTCAAAAATTAAACCTACAAACATTCACAAGTAACACGTGAACACAATACACAACAACAGTATGAAAATAAGTTTCGCGATAAAAACAACCATGATGGAGCCGTGACTGTCTTTGAATAGCGTTAAACAAAAAAGAAACAGCTCTTGATGTACAGAAAATATGGGTTTGATCTTTGAGTCATTTACCTTAATTGAGGATGGTTCTTCTTTTATCCCATTAACTCCTAACACTGACCAGCAAATAATTTTTCCCCACGATATCAGCCCAGAATCAAATATCAAGGTCATGAGAATAAAGAAATTGATCAGCAACTGAAGGAGGTCTTAATTGTTAAACAAATTATCCTTGTTAGCACCCTAGGAAATGTGTAGAGAGCAGTATAATGTCAGGGTGTAAAGAATTAAATTCGTCTCCCTTAAGGATTTCAGCGTCTATTTTCTTGACGACAACTTTATTCAGTTTTCTCGTCTTTCCACAGTGACTTGTCGTTCAACAAGTTGCAGTCATTACCTGATAACGTGTTTTCTAAACTCAAGCAATTAAACATTCTGTAAGTAAAAGGTGAAAACCAATGTAGAAAGTAATCAGCTCACTTGTCCCAAATGGAACAATACATATTTGCTGGTCCTAGGCCTCGGGCAGCCTTTTTCGGGACCTGGGTAAAGTTTCCGCACAGCCCCATACTATTGTAAAACAAATCTGTTTTCCCGATGGAAATGTATTGTTTTTGTCATTGTTTTCTCTAGTCAAGAACTGAATGCATAATTTAGTATGGGGCTGTGCGAAAATTTTACTTAAGGCTGTAAATACAGCAAGATCTTCCATAAATTGAACAATTTTTGAGCGAGTAAATGGTAGTTAAAATAGAGGTAATGCAACTTAAAGAGAGGCTTCACCAAAACATTCTTATTTGCGTAATGATAAAGGTGATTTAAAGGTTCCTATACAAACTTTGAAACATTATTTTTACAAGTATCTGTCACAATCTGACACCTGTCAATTAGAGAGCGCGTAAGAAAAATAAATCGCATGTATACTCTTAGAAACAACAGTCCTTGCCAAACTAGTTTGGCAAGGACTGTCACGACATTGTTTTCTTCAAAATCAGTCAATGATCTAACGGAAAGTATTATTCACTCTCATCGACGATTCATTCATGTACGAAGATTTACCTTTGTTCATTAAGTAAACGGCGAGGAAAGTAATTGTGAGTAAATTCAAATTTTTTATTTTGAAGTTTTGAGAGTTTACTCGTTTGGTTGCTGCAATGGCGTGTGTAAATCTGGTCTTTCCTCCACAAAAAATAAATTCGAGTGATACACTCCAACGAGACACAAGGGGATTTAATGCAGCCTTTTCTCGTTGAATTCATTCAGTTTCTGTTGTGCAATTTACGGTTCAAATGTCCAAATTGAATGGACTTAGAAAGACCCACCGAGAGTGTATATTTGTCGTAAAACTGAAATTAAAACTTCGCTCGCCCTTTCACTACGAACAAATTGTTTGAGAAAATTCAGATATTAAATGAATGAAAGTTCCATCGATTAGTTCAACTATAACCAAATACCTCACGTTTTAACTTTCTAGGTACTTTTTGTGAACGATTAAAATTAATTGCAGACGGTTTTAGGCCGCTTGTCAACCGAGGTAATGACACTATTGCCTAAACAAATTCATTCTGAAACCAATATTTTTCTGTCAACCAAAGTGATTTGAGAGAGAGAGAAAAGAGTGGATTAATAGGTTATTTATCGGCTTGAGGTAGTGACCGACGTCTTTGCTTAAAAATACTGCCCAGCCGGAAAAACGAGATATATTTATGAAAAATGGCAACGAAATTAAAGAAGGAATGTACTCGGCGACTCACGAAAGCGTTACTGTTGCCCGTGGGCAGAGATAAGAAAATACAGACCGTGTAAAGAACCAATAAGATTGCAGGATTCGTTTCTGTGCCCTTTGAAAAAAAATAATAAAAATAAAAATAAATAATTAATCGGGTCGAGATCGCCGCCTCTCAAAACATTTATTTTCTTAAACAACTTTGAGTATGTAACCCAATGGGGAGTGGATTTCACAATTTTCTAAATTTGTAATGCAGTCCTCGTTAATTGCCCTCAAGAAGTTAGAAATAAATGCAATTTCTTTTTTTCTTTTTCAAAGGTAGGCTACTCGCTCTAACGAAGGGCTAACGCTCGAAACGTCAGCTTTTTTAATCTTTACAGTGGCCAATTTACGTTTTCATCTCGGTTGTTAACGCTAAATTACCTGCTGTACCCTCCCACTGACGTAGTACCATAGTTTCTTTAGAAACTTACCCTCTTTACTCGTGACGTCCTTTTTCCAGAACAACCTATTGCAATTTCCTAGTAAAGAAGACACGTATAAAATGAAACAAAACGAAACAGGACAGAATAAAGTGTTTCATGAAGGTTTATTTCCAGCAGCTCAGATAATAACCCGCTCCTGTTCTATGTTTGATATCTCAGTAGTATTACGTTTTCCCCTGTTTTTAGGATGCTAACCTTCAACAGGATCACTCACATTAATGAACACACATTCAATGGACTTTCCGGTTTGACCACACTGTAAGTGTCCTCTATATAGTGAGTCAGGGGTCTAAATAACGTGTTCTATTAGCAGAGTAGTAGGTACAGTAGTTGCATAGTGGTGTAGTAGGTGACTGTGCCCGGAGAAGAGACCTTTAGGCCCCTTTCCCCAAGGAGAGTCAGGGGGCATTGTCCCTCAGAAAAAAGAATTGAAATTTATAGCTCCAAAGTGTTATTTCCATCATTATAAGCAACAAAAAGTGTACTTTTTTTTATAACTTTCATCGACACCTTTGTAATTTGCAAGCGATTCCTTACCAATTAAAATGCTTCGTTATAGAACGTTCGTGGATAAACGAAGCAAATCCAGAAATCAATGCCTTGCGGGTAGGCTCTCATTTCAAGCCCTAAAAAAAACCTCTCGACCTCCAATAAGTTCTCCATTTAAAAATTCAAACATTGAGTTCTAGAAGAGTAAGTCAGGAGTTTCAATGACTTTTTCCTAAGGCGATAATTTATGATATCATGCTCACCCTTGCCCAATATTTCCCTAGTATCAATACAAGTATTTGAGATAGAACGTGCGCTCCAGTTGGTTAGTGATTGTGCACTTTTAAGATTCATGTGCATTGCATAAAAGTTATGGAGCACTTCCGTACCAATTAAAACGTTTATTTATTGAAGAAACAGCCCTCGTAGATTAAAAATGAATCATTTGGCCAGTGAACTCGTTTATTCAATTGTTAATATATGTACGTATGCAATTGTTATAACTGGCACATTTATAACGTCATGTCCCTAATCATTTTTCTCATTGGTAATTTAATGCTATTGCTAATGAATGCTAATCAAAAACAACCTTACATTTATTTCCAAGACGATTTTGATGAAACTCCTCGCCTGGAATCATTTTAAGAATAATCTTTGGTTCTGAGATTTTCCTCATGCCATGTAATGTTGTGTCATATGTATCGTAGTGTATCATTACAAGTTACACGATAAGATACGAGCTTCTTCGGTTTCTAAGATATATCCAGGTTGCCTTAGTCAGAAAAAGGGTTATCTTTTCTTCTTTTCTCAATCAAAAATATTTTGATTGAGAATAGAAGATCACCGAAATGTATTTTTTTTCCGTAGGCTCCTTCACAGTAATGCAATTAAAACTATTGAAAGCAAGGCTTTTGACGGACTTTTACTGGAGCAGTTGTGAGTAACTTGACGAATTGCCTGATTTCCTTTAAAGGTCTGAAAAGGAGATAAATTTCGTGAGCTGAAAGTTTCCCTGTTTCCTCGGTCATTGTTAGAAGAAAAAACAAACATATTAAAAAAAAAAACCGCACCCGCTATTTCTGATCGTTGATATCGGGAGCTTTTACAATTACTATCAAATCGTTTCTTTTGTAATGAGTAGATATTTTATTTTCAGAACCATCTTTGATAATCCTTTCAGCTCATTACCAGATGGAATGTTCGACAAAATGTCAAACCGTACCAAAGTGTAAGTCAAGCCGTATGGCTTAAACACACGTCGTATAGCATTTCACTAGAAACTGAAGTTAGTAGAAGACTTCTAGATCATAGACACGCCAAGATATACTTTTCATATCCTCAAGCTAACATGGAAACTTCATATTGTTGAATAGTCATTTCCAAACGTGTTTTTAAACACACCTAAGAACACGAGACAAAATGACATACATTCACGAAAAGATGAGAGCACCCTTAACGCGGAAACAAACGTATCAGTATAATTATCATCATCCTCATCATCATCATTATCGTCGTCGTCGTTGACATCTTCATCATTATCGTTACAGTTGTTGTGTTGTAGTTTTATTGGTATAGCCTATCTCAAGTCGGTTTTCGTACCTTCAGTAGTTCTCACTTTCGAGTAAATTGAGGGGAGGTGTGGAATTATCAGGTGATGGAATGTCATCCAATCAGAGTGGAGGACCAAGATGTCAGGTCACTCAAAGCTAGGAAACCTGAGTTTGCTTTGGCGACGTGGGCTTTTTGACTAATTACTGCTGTCACCATTCTCATAACGAGAGTGTTTTTGTCTTCTACATCCAATCAGTTTCAGTTCAACTTACCTATAATCAAGTTGTTTACAGGTCATTGACGTGTAAAAGTCTTCGTCAGCTGCCTCGGGGAAAATATTTGTCACAAATGTAAGTAGGCCTTAAACTTTCATTTTTTTTGGACATCCTATATAGAATCACCTTCAACATGGTCTTCCATTGATGGACATCTACACTATCGATTAAGCGGCTTCTTTGACTCAAGAAATTTACTATGTATAGTTATTAAAAGTTAGCCGTAGTATAACATAAAAGCTTTGTTGGTCTAGTTATGATACACTGCAAGTCTTCAAAATAGCTCAAGCGTCTTCTCTACAAGACGACGTCATCTAGTGCAAACTCACCCCCCGGCCTCTGTTGCACCAAATTTTTCATGAATCTTAACCGCCTTCGTGTTATTCTCATGAGGGTTTTAGTTTGATTTTAATCTTTTTGGGAATACTCACTTGGTTAAATTCATCAGTGCGCACCTAGTAAGCGAGGCTTAAGGGAAGAAATCGAGTTTTACTGAGTTAAAATGTGTGGGGCCTCTTTGATTGGTTTCCAGGCCTTGGTACCTGAGCTCATATATGACATGAATAAAAAATATGGTAAATGTACAAATTTTTTTAAAGCACACATTTCGTAGAGCACTTTTAACTATTTGCACTCGTTAGACATGATCTCAAGGTTAGAGCGACTTCGATCTTGCGCTTCACTGAGTTTAAATCATCCTTAAATCCAATGCGAGCTTGTGGGTTAATTGTCATCTCATTTCTAGGTCTCTTTTCTAATGGAGAAACTTAAAATGTCTCTTCCAAGCAAGATTTTTTAATTTGTTATTGTCATTATCCAATCCTCAGTGAGTGTGCTCCCTCGACATCTCTGTACGTCATTTTGGACAACGACCTAAGTTACTTCGGATTTAGTTTTTCACGCTCAGGTTTTGTTTGCCACGACTGTGCAACCTATAAAAAACAAAGTTTTCCAACTAAGTGTAAAAACTGCAGTCTCTGTCCAGTTGGTACCTATATGTATACTGATGAAAACCGCTGTGTAGAGTGTCCTGCAGGTAATGAGAATGAACACCTATTTCATCGTTAATGCAAAGAATGATATAAATAATAATATAAAAGGTTTAGATAGCGCCGTTTATGCTAAGTATCCAACCGCGCGTTATATTACAATATTGGAAGTTATTTAATAAAAAAATATCTGAACCATATAATTTAACTTTATAACATGCCAGCTAAAATTCCTTTGAAAATAAAAGCCATAGGCTTAAATTTCAAGGGCGTTAACAACTTGTACCTCTTCGTAACCTCTGGAAGAGAATTCCATAATACTGGTGCAATATATGAATAAAACTCTTTGGCCATACAACCGAAGATTGTATCTTGGTGTTACAAGTAAAATTTACAAGACGATCGCGAGGTTCTTAACGTTCCTGTAAGTAAATAGGAGCCACATCATTTGAAGATTTGAAAGTTAAGAGTAGAGTTTCATAATCACTCTGTTCGGCCACTGGAAGCAAATGTATCTTTCTCAATATTATAACCAAAAACAGGCAACAAAGAATAACTTAAAGGTTTCACAAACAATAGCATTTATAAAAATGTTTCTACTCTGTAATTGTACTTAACAATTGAATCTCTCCCAACCCACCTGTGGAGCTGAATCCTTGTTTTATGATATGATGTCTTCACAGGTGGCTTTTATCAGGATGAAATGGGACAAGTTGAATATAAAAGATGCAGTAATGGTACATTTGTTTCTGAACAGCGAAGTCCTGGAACCAAAGCTGCCGACTGCGTGGCTTGTCCATATGGTAAGTGCAGTGTTCGCTTTGGGCGAACTGCACCTTTCTCGATTAAATACCCTTTAGGTAACACTGAGTTTTAATGAAAGGACTGTCACAGCGATTTCTTCAACACACAGCAGTCACTGTCATTAGTTTTGGTTCTTGCATCATCAACACAGAAAAAAGTTAACTGTAGTGGACTATCAGAAAACCTCTTCAGAGAACAGAAAGATGAGCAGAAATGACTCGCTTAATGGTAGTTGTTGTTGTCGATATTTATTTTAGGCGAAATCCAAAGATACCTGATTTTAAAGTATATCCATTTACTTCGCTAGTGAAATCTTATTTCTTGGTTGATTCAGAGAAGAGAGAAAATTAATTCCTGGAAAAGCCTTTTTATGAATGCTTTATTATCATTGCTAAGAAAGAAAACATTCCTTCCCAGGTACGATCTCCAACGAGACTGCTGAACATCGTGCATGCAGATGCCTGCACAACTTCTATCGGTTGGATCGTTTTGGCCCGTGCTCAGCATGTCCACCACATGGTTTTGTTTGTGAGAAAGATACAGCAATACTTGCCCCTAACTACTTCTGGAAATGGACAGACCAGTCTGAAAAAGAACGTTTCAAGGGTTTTGTTAACAATATTCATTCTTTTGGACCACACTACAACAAGTCATATTCCACGTTCGATACTTCACTTCCGAAGCCACTCAAATGTCCCCATGCAAAGTCCTGCAAGGGTGGAATTGACTCAGAATGCCATCAAGGATATAAAGGGACTTTGTGTGCAACCTGCTCTGGAGACTTCTATTTTCGCTTCAACTCTTGTTTGAAATGTCCCCGGTTACCTGTAACAATAACCTCATCCATTTTGGTAATTACTCTTTTTGTTGCTGTGTTTCTAATGGTTATGTGGGGGGACTCCAAACGTGCAGAGAACGACCGGACAGTTGCAGATGTCGTCATGTCGTGCTTTAAGATTGTGACTGGTTTTTACCAAGTCATCGCTGGTATTTTCTCGGCATTGGCGAAAGTCCAGTGGCCAGTAATTTTGATCTCAACGGAGAAGGTTCTAAAAGTATTTGAAGGGAACATCTTGCAGTTTGCCCCTCTTAGTTGCATTCAGCCTTCTCTACGGCTTGATGAGCTAGGAAAGTTCACGATGATTGTTGTCATGAATGTCTCACTCGTTAGCTTGATTTTCTTGTATCTATTTCTTAAAAAACACTATATCATGAATAAGGAGGACCTTTGCGAAGACCAGAAAGTAATGGAAGTTAAGAGTTTGAAGAAATCTTGCTATCGGAACATTTTCCTATTATTGTTGACGACCTACCCCACGACGAGCAAATCGATTATTCAGATTCTACCTCTTCCCGGTGCTTGCGTAGAGACTTGTTTCACAGAGGACAAGAGCGACTGCATCTTCCTTCTGAGAGCTGACCACTCAATCCAGTGTTTCACTCCTCGCCACAGCTTGTATTGGCTCATGGCTTCTATTTTGGCATTATATCCCTTGGGATTTCCACTTCTGGTTCTGTTTCTCATTTACAAGCATCGCGATTCCCAGGAAAATGAAGCAATTTCTTTCGGACTCAGAGTGTTCTTTGAAAACTATAGGAAGAAATTTTGGTTTTGGGAAATCACAGAGATGTATCGCAAGCTGATTCTAGTCTCGTTGATTTTTCTTTTTGGATCAAACAGCCTCTCTCAAATTGGTCTTACAATTCTGACAGTTAGTATCTTTGGAGTTATCTACACCTTATTCCGACCGATCAAGAATAAGTTTGAAGACTGCTTGCAAACTTTTGTTCTTTGGATCATTTTCTTTGACGTTTGTCTTGGCGCAGTTTACACAAACTGGGATGAGAGTCGAGGAGAGGACAAGAACGACTCCATCTTTGTAAATGTCCTGTTCGTGGTCCTTAACGTCTCTGTTTTGTTGCTTGCCATTGGTAAGTCAACGTGCTGCTCTCTTTTCGATCTTAAATGTGCATTTTTCTCATTTGCCAAATAAATTAAGGAAAGGTTGCGTGGATTGTGGTGGTTTTCTCAATTCCTCAGATTTTTCTTTTTTCGCGCAATGAAAGTATTATGATAAAATCGTAAAGTATCCAGGTTGTTTATGATATTTGACTCTCTATAACACTGGCTCACACAACTGTAACCTTAAAACAGATCGCGATGTTCGGTCAATTCTTCTCGCAGCTTAACTTTTCCTGTAAGTGGAACTTTTAGACCTTGTAATCCTGATAGCTGAGTTATTTTCTCTTTTCATATGCTGTAGTGTTCCAACATTAGAAAGTATTGGTAGAAGACAGAAAACTGCGAGTTACAGATGGAGTATTATGAATACTGAGATCTTAAAAAGAAATCCAAACCATTGAACTGACGAAATGTCAACACCCATTCTCAAAACGCTTCTTAGCATGAGCGAAAACAAACACAAATTTCAGTAAAAAGGGACACCTTACCTTTTCCAACGCCTTCATGTAAGATTTCAATTACATATCTTAATAATTACCTCCGTCTTTTTTTTTCCCTACTTTACAGGAAAAGGAATTCTACACGTGAAATCAATTTGGAAGTACATTTCCTTGAACCCGATCCGATGTTTCATTTTCCTTCGCCAAGGAGTACCACGTCTTAAAAACAGAATGGTCAAAAGAACAGGAACATCTGATGAACTTTCATACTTCATTGAAGAAAGCAACTGAAGAACTTTAACGAAATATTTGTCTTAAAACTATCTTCCTAAGCCTCATGAAATATCTCGCTTTAGATGGCTTAAAAATTTAGAGCTTGTGAGACTTCCGGATGACATTTCATTGGAACTAGAGGCACAAGCGATTTCCACAAAGGTTGTGTTCTTCAGAACGGAACTCATTTTTATTTTTAAGTATTTAGTTCAAATTGAGATAATAAGATAGTTTATTTTCAGATAATAAGATAGTTTATTTTTTAGTTTAAAAAAACATAATAACGTTTTGGATAGTTCAAGAGTAGGATCCCTCGCACTATTGCGCATATATGACTTTGACAAACCATATATTTTTTAAAAAATAATAAAGCACTCTTTCTTTCGGTGGCTACTGAGTCGATTGATATGTTTAAACGTTTTGTATAAAGTCCTTAGAAACCTTTATTCGTATAACAGATGATGTTGGAATGTATCATTTTCAATCACCATGTCAGCCAGGGAGGTTGCCATAAGTAGCTAATTACAAAGCACAAGCATGCTCGTGATATACGCCACAGTTCGTGCCATACGTGTTTTGGTTGTTTTTTGTTTTTTGTTTTTTTCTTTTAACGTTTTGCGGCTGTTGCGTGGAACAGCTTTCATTGTCACGCGTGTTAATCTCCATGTTGACTTTACTTTGTGCGTGTGAATCTGTCGTTCGTGGCGCCTTATTATCTTAAATATCTTGAAAGGTAACTCGATGTTTAACACAAAATAGAATCCAAAGAGACCAGAAGCATTTGGAGAAAAAAAAACGTCGTTTTATACTTTCAAAGCTCTCCATGTAGCATTAAAGATAATTCACACAGCCCGAGTGTGGCGACGATTGCTATAGGCCATGCGGTTAATGTGCTTGAAGGGAATAAACAATAGCAAAGAACCAAAGCAATCAGGCTAAGCGTTGTCAGCGACAATCCTACGCAAAATATTTCTGCGCTTCAGTGAAAAAAAGAACAGGTTGATTTTGCCTGCAAGGCTGATTGGACAGCTTAACCGACCAAAATGTCGATGAGAACCAACGAGAAAATTAGTATGTTTAAGACAGTTTGGACAGCACAGAATTTAGGGATAATTACCAGTATGAGTCCATTCCCCAGTATGGCTAAAACTCCCGGCACGGGATTGACGACGCGTATGGCGAGGAGATAATCATTAGTGTTGGTGATAGCCTGAAGTTTGGACAGCTCTTGAGACAGAGTGGAATCTAGACAAGATGTGTTTGTTTCATCAATGGATTTCATTCGGTACCTAGATGTATGCCCCAAATAGAGATCATGATTCCCCGAGAGTTACAGGGAATCATGCGTGTTTCATTTCAGTCATTTTGATCTGTATTTCGCTCTACACTCATGTGTATCGAGCGCTATCCAACAGCATTTTCTACAAATGGTTAAGAATATATGAAAGTCATATATCTATATATATATCACATATCATATCTTAACCATTTATTCATCACTTCACGGGTTTATTTAGAACCAATATCATGACCTGCTCCCTGTTGGCTTGTTAGCTCAGTTGGTAGAGCGCTGCACCGGTATCGCAGAGGTCATTGGTTCAAATCCCGTACAGGCCTGAATTTTTTTCAGGCCTTATTTTCACTACTGCTTAAGTAGTGTACATTAATGCGAGGATCACTTTCATTCAAAAGCATTTGCTACAATTTCCCACAATTAAATTGGCTTATATAGCTAAGATAAATTAAACTCTGAAGTCGAACTTTATTCGAGATTTCGACTGAAAGAGAACATGCATGAAGACATGCACGCACGATGAAAATTTCACAATTATTGTTGTTACCGAATTTATGCCCGGTTCCTTTCAAAGTCACAGATAAATGCATGCATTGAGATGTCGTAGTTCCTGTTAGTTTACCTTTCATAGAATATTCTTTTTTTTATTCATTTTTTTGCAAGTTCATACACACAACGTGTAGATCGCTTCAGGCTTTTTCAGGTTACTCTCAACACACAAAGTAAGCAAACTAAGTTCTGGGTGATTTCTATCCTTATTGAAACTCCAACCATTTGTTCTTGAGGGACAGTCGTGCTCCTACTTACAACACAAAAGCAGTGAACAGGATTTTCGTCTAAGCGTCAATGATCGATGAATTTAAAGTTTTCTTTAATACTAATCACTTTCCTTTACCTGTTGTACTTTTATATATGTACTTTTCTATGAAACACTACAGATGATGGATAGGAAGAAACACGAGAAGAAAGCGGAGAAGAAAAAGTGTTTTCTTGCCGAATCTATCGTAAAGGTTTTTCTATAGATGACTTGTCATTAATATGATTTTTAAAAAACATTGTTCAATCTAGAAAAGTTTGACCGCTCTCGTGCCCATGGGGAACGGGCGGGATCAAAAGCGTTTCATGGGTCACTTACTTTATGATAGGAATAAAATTTTTCCGCACTTATGTAAATTGTGCGACAAAGTAGATCAGAGCATGCGCTTATCACAGGTCATAAATTTCAAATGGAAAGTTAAGCTCGGTAAAGAAATATAAATTAGTTTGCCTTTTGACGAGGAAATGACTTTTTAACGGGTCATATATACAATAATTATAGTGAGCGCTGAACTTCACTGGGATAATTCATGAAGTTTTTCGCCAAATGGAAAAAGCCCACATTCTCTCTTTACCTCTCCAATCCTGCTCCTTATTGTGGTTTGTTTCACGCGTTTGAGATGTACTCATACTCCTTGTCTTTCCACATGACTACATTTTGCTTTTCTTATCGCATGAAAATCCTACCAATTGTAGTTTCCATCGTAGTTTGATAACAGATTTTCATAATTCCTAATGAAATTCAAGCCCTTTCCTAAGCTGACCGATATCCTGTTGCATGAACAGTACGCAACCTCTGGCGGATACTGGCATAAACACTACCTCGAAGTGGCGGTGTATTCTCCTTAACTAGGCTTCCGAAAATCTATCCCATGAGCCATCAATTCCCCCCTGTCCTCAGGAAACTAAAAGTAGCAACAGTAGCAACGTCATTTTGATAACAGCACTGCAACGAGATGAATAAAGAAACATACATTTTATTGAATTAGATAGTAGTGAATCCAATTACCGTGTGAAAGTCGATGCGTGCGAAATATTCATCTATAATACTAATGTCAGCTATTTACTTTGAGCGGAATGGGTCATATGGCAATGCTGCACTTAAACTAAAGAAGTTTTTATCTATTAAAATCATCCCTGTTTGAGATTAAATTGAATCAGATGACTATGACTAACTCTTTTTTTATTCGGTTTGACCGGCACGACGATCGCGACGATAGCCTCTGCCTTTGCAATCTCTGAGGAAAGGAGCAACTTGCAGTGAAACTTCCTGATGACTTCTCAGTGAAAAACCCTCGTGCCCCGTTATACAGCTGATTATTTCGTCAAAAGTTAGCTTTTGGTTTATTGAGGGAATTTCTTTACTGCAACCAAACACTAGAGCACTGACCAAGGGGAACCTTCGCCGCGTATAGTGCGAAGGAATAAATTGACATGGCAACAGAAACGAACACAGCTACCCCGGCATTCTTAACATAGATTTCGCAAACAAAACACAAACGCAGCAAACTAAACATTAAGCAAAGGGAATTTTCTGTTCTAATCTTGACCTAAACACCGCAGGCAAGAAACCGTCTTTGTCAATCTTCGTCGAAATCTTCGCTTAACACAACGGGGTTCTCCTTCGTAGGGCTGAACCGTACTTGCAACTCCATTTCTTCTCTTCTACTTGAGTACGATGTATCACAACTCTCGGTAGAGTTCCCTGAAGATAGGTATACATTGCTATCGGACATTACGTCAAGAGTATTTCAACGATGACTGATACAAAATTGCAAGAGATGTGAAAGATTTGCAAGTGTCAACTGAGAGTTTTCACGGTTTTCTACCTCATCACCCGCTTATTCGTTACCGATCCATGCGACACTTTTAAGACTAAATAAGAGCGCTTTAGGGCCCGTAAAGACCGAGCTTGAGGATTTTTAAAGTTTTTCCTCAATCGAAATTGGTTTGTACATATGATGAACTAAATATTTACGCAAAAAGAAAATTTCGTTCATCGGCACTTTAAAAGCGCAGACCATTCTGCTTTTACATGAAGGTGTCAATGAGGTGATGGATTTACGGTTAACGGTTAAAATTTCGGCCATCTTACGGCTAACAGTTGGCTACCATTTCTACGGTTAACTTTTTTGCGACTTTCGGCAAAATTTTTGGCTGTTTTACAGCTAACGGTGAACACTAATGTGAACCCGTTACATTACCGGTAATAAAAGGCAATGAAAGCTTTGAAACTTAGAACACGGTGAACCCTAAAAGTATCATTTACTGAGCAGGAAAAAAAACGGCTGAGCGTTAGATAATTAAAACCACAGAGAGCAACAGTAAGCACCCTTTGGTGATGAGTTTTGCTCTCATGCAATCAACTTTGCTGTCATAATTGATATTTCAAGAAGTTTTCTGAACAATGGTCTGGTCTTGAATACGCTATGCGACTCATCAAAACAGATTACTAAACACGCGTTTCAGTCCTCTCTCATTTTTACCAAAACCTGTGTTTTAACTAATGACTTTCATGAAAGCGCTGTGTGTAGGGAAGAGTTCAAAGACTCTCACCCGCTCTGATTCCCTCGTCACAAGAACGTAATCTACGTATTTACTCAAAGTTACTAAAGTTATCTTTAATGATTATTCAGTGTTAGATCTTAAAACCTTGTTTTACAGAATCATTGGTTGCAAGGCGACTCTTTTTATGTCTTTCCATGCCTATCTTTTTCCCACATACTTTTCTTAAGTCTTGACTGTTGTTTGTCCTGTTCGTATATCACCGTACCTTGATTACAATCTCAAAACAGAGAAACATGATATTCTCTTCATTGAAATATTGAATTTTCACCATACGTGTTCGATTCTAATTGATTGAAGAATAAAATGAAATTAGAGTGACTACATTAACGTAGAATGTAAACCCATCGTTGATGTAAGGCCCTCCCTTGTTTCTAGGAAAGAACAGATCAAACTATGCCCAGCTTGATAATAATCGATATAATCTTAATTTAAATGATAATGACCAATACCATCATTCATAATGATTGCTTTTTAAAAAGCGTGCAGTCAATGTAATGGTAATTAAGATAAGGAAGAATGGCTGCTAACGCTAAAAGCTCACAAGAGCCAGCCTACATTGAAATGAGCGTACAAAGATGACAAAATGCTAAACTGGAAGTCATGTTAATGGGGCAGGGGGGGAGAGGATAAGTTTCTCAAGAAACTGTGGTGCTGCGTAGATGCGTGGCCGTGTGGGGCTAACAGGAAAATTTCGTTTTATCAAGTGAGCTGACAATACAAACTGGCCACCATAAAGAGTTTTCAGAGCTGACGTCTCAATCGTTGGCCCTGGATCAGAACGAAGGGCTAACTCTTTAGAAACTCTAAACAGTGGCCGATTTACATTTTTCACTGAGTCGATAAAACTAAAAAATCTTTAGGCCTGGATGGTGGCTAACAAATTTGATATCCTGAAAAAAGCTAATTTGAGCTAATAGGACGAGTGCTTACAAAAGATTCGACTTCATTTTTGTTGAATGTTGTTACACGCATTTGTGAGGAAGATCCATAAATGTCAAATAGGAAAGGACGAAAACTACACCGTTATGATTGACAAGCAAGAACAAATCTAGAGAGGGAGGACAGACTGAAATACAGCCGGGTCAATCAGATAGGAATCACAAGCGCTGAAACTCGAGAGCTGGCTGAGCTATGCTAGTTGATCGATTACCTTAAAAACTGGAGGAATGGGCGGCAATTTTCCAGTTCTAACCCACACTTTGGTTTCTAGAAGACAAAAATAAAACATAAACCCTTTAACTCTTAGTTCAAATTTGTAATTCTCCTTACTGTCAATCATACAATTCTTATAGTTTTAGTTCAGAGAGCTTAGTATTTGATCAGCTAATTATTCCCAAAATTGATATTTTTCTCTTTTTTTATCTCTTGTCTGGTTGATATTGTATTGATATTGTAAGGAGAAATTCTCTCTTGGTCACCCATGGAAGTGAAAGGGTTAAAGAAACCAGCACTGGTTTTTCAAAATATAAAACAACATGTACCAGGAGCTATACATAAGATTGATAATTAATTAATGAGAATAGATTTTCTGAATTTTTCATTGCTATATTTTTATTTGTTTTGTTTTTCATTCGAAGCTGCTTGTTAGAGATGGTCAAGAAAGCAATTTGGAAAATCGTTGTACTTAATTCTAAAACATTTCTCGATGTATTTCACACCGTCGGTTGAAAAACTATTCGGAAAAAGAAACTGTTTGAATTTAAAACAATTTCGGGAGATATGTAGGACTATAACCACAGAGATAAATATAAGATAAACAGGAACTAATGATATGATTAGCTTCCTTGGGTTTAAGTTGGAATATTATGGAGCAGAACCCACAATTCCATCTAATATAGAGAGCAGGATATTAGGTTAGCTCTAATTATAAATGTTTCAAAAATAATTTAAAGTGAAACAAATGTTTCTTAATCCTCCCTTTTTTCCTTCTTTCTTCCTTTCTTTCTTTCATTTCTTCTTTTTTTTTTTCATTTTTTTCTCCCATTCTTTCTTTCCTTCATTTCTTTTATTCTCACTTTCTTTCTTCTTCGTTTTTTCTTCTCAACTCTCTTTTTGGGAGACAACTTACCACCAGCTGGTAAATTGCAAAATGGTGGGTCCACATTGCATATAGTGTCGTCCCTGCTCCTTAAAATAACCTTGCCGTCTAAGACCACTTCGTATTGCATGGATGCTTCAAGAACATCTACCGCTATTAGAAGCAAGCACTAGTTAGAACGTGGCACAGATCTTAGTGTAATGAAAAAGCAATATCTGCTGTACAGCAAGGGAAGTTGGAGAGGGAAGATTTCAGTTGAACCCGCCAAGTTGAGTCAGCAATCGTTGAAAAGTTTAATAAATACAGGAAATAGAAAATTATTTGCGATTAGATTTAACAACTTTAAGCACTGCAGGATAATTGACAATCACTTAGTATACCCTGGCGATATGAGCTGACTTGAAATCTCATTTCCCGATGCCTTTGATTCCGAAGTTTCGGAGAACCTCTTACTTGCAATCGCACTCAGCGCTCTCCCGTAACCTCGATTCTCAAATCCTGGATATTTTTATAGTTATACACCCTTAGTCAAATTGTTAAGAAAGGGGTTAAATTTTTGGCTTGGTCTTTGAACAAAGTAGGATGTTAATTATTTTGTCTCGAGTGTGGGAAAACCTGATTCCCCGATTAGAATATATGTAAAACCTTGGAGCGTTGGGTTCCGTCGTCCGATGCTCTACGAAACTTCAAGGTTCAAACGAGACATTGATATATGTCTTGCAATTTGTTTTGTATGCTGTAAGGATATGCAATGTCGGTATGTATCCATATCGCCTAATCAAGGAAGATGCTATCCGCAGTTTTAATCAGTCCTGTGGTCGTTTAGCCGTTGAATTTCATAAGCCCCTCCTTCTGCTTCTGTAACGATATCACTTTTAATTGAGAATCCATTAAAAATATTAAAACACCTCCATGTCAACTTCAACTTACCAGGTGTAAATGTCATATTAACTATAAAATGATTTCCAGCTGGAATGAAAGGCCATGGAGAAACTTTCAACGTTGGAGGCTTATCGTACTTTCCTAAAAAGAATGTAACAATGGAGATCACCTTGGGCTACAGAAAAACAAAATTAGTTTCCAATTGACTCTTTCATGAGTGAACGGTTGATGCCATTCATTTTTCCCTATAGTTCTAACTTACTTCAGTCCAGGCCCCACGAAAACCTTAGATACAAAGCAATATATGGAAAAATATATTACGTTTTAAGTTTGTTTTTTGCGACAAATGAGTAGTCTTATTCTTAGCTGGTTTTGACTAAACAGCTGGTGGGCAATGGAGAGGGAAATGAAAAAATAATGGAGATGGAGTAATAGAACCCGGAAATCAGATAATTGGGAAAGTAGTAAGTCAGTTGTGAAAAAGAAAATCGACAATTCTTTTTATAAGTCTCCATTTTCATTTTTCATGGTAGCATTCTGTAATTTTTTTCCTAAACAGTTTTTAGGCTAAATTAAAAAAAGTAGCTTACCACAGAATGTCACATTAATCATTTCAATTCCAGAGCGATATCCCCATGTTCCACTGATGACAAAAACGAACATGCTCAGGAAGATAGTTTGTCCCGGTTGTTGCGTCAAAATCATCATTGTCTCCCAAACCGACAGCTGGGCGGAAAAACACTGTAAATTAAAGGAATTTATTACATCCATTTTGAAATCACTGGTGGTCCCTGCAATCTGATTGGCTCTAATTGGTGCGATTTATTCACGAATCGCACCATTTTTTGCTCTAAATCGCATCTTTTTTCCAGCCAATGAGGAAGTTACACTTAAAACAAAACAACCAATCAGATTTCAAGGCTTGTTTAAAGTAACCAATCAAATTGCAGGAAAATGAAAGACAAAGAGTATCATTTCGCAAATTTTGCAACTTTTGTTTCCATAACTCTTATTTTTCCCCCCCAAAAATGGATGAATTTAATTTTTTCCAGTTTTTGAATGATGACAATGAGATCCTTCAGGCTGAAGACCAACATTCCAGGGACTTTCCCACTTTTCGTGTACATTTTGGTGAATATTTTGACGATTTTCTACCCTCTCAAGCTCAAAATCCGCACAATCCCGAGTCCACCGAGTCAGCAACAAACGAAGAAAATCAAAAGCCACCACAAGAGTTAGATGTTTCAAGATTTCCTATCATTTCAAGCGATGAAATACAGGAGCTTAAGTCTGCCACTTCGAATAAAAATACGTCCCGCTCCACAAAACAATGGATGAATGTTTTCAGAAGCTGGTGTCAGTGCCGCCATCTTGAATATGTCTCCATCGAAACAATGGCGCCTGAAAAACTTGACAAGGTCTTGAGTAAGTTTTATGCCGAGGTGAAAAAAAAGGACGGAGATGACTACGAGCCAGAATCCCTTAAAATCATGCAGAGTGCCATTGAACGGTATCTAAAGGAGAAGAACTATCCATTGAGCATCGTGCGATCGAGAGAGTTTCACTCCTCACAAGAAATCCTCAATGCGAAAGCAATTTCCCTACGTCAACAAGGAAAGGGAAAGAGACCCAACAAAGCTCAGCCAATCACACCTGAAGAAGAGTCAGCCCTGTGGGAAAAAGGTCAGTTGGGTGATTTTAATGGAAAGGTCTTGACCAATGTCAACTTCAAAAATTTGACAGAACAACTGGGATTTCGTGGTCGCCAAGAACACTACGATGCATACGTGGAAGACGTAATTATAAGACAGCGAGAAGATGGAACTGAAGTTGTTGAGTTCAGGGAAGGTCCCACTAAAACACGGAGCGGTGGTCTCACCATCAGGCGAATAACAACACCACAGGCAATGTTCAGCACCGATGGGGGAAAAAGCGATCCAGTGCGGCTATTCAAGCTTTGGTTGTCCAAGCGACCCGAAGGAATGAAGAACACAGGGCCACTCTATCTTAGCATCATAAATCGTCCTAAATCAGCAGATGTTTGGTACACCAAAGTTCGAATGGGACAAAACACCATCGGCAATTTAATGAAATCCATGGCCTCCTGTCTCAGGACGAATAAGAAACTGACGAACCACAGCATGAGGAAAACATTGGTATCAAAACTGAAGAAGTCTGGTCAACCGCGCAATGTTATCTGTGAAATAACAGGCCATGCACGTGAATCTTCGTTAGACGACTACGATGAAATAGACGAGAATCACAGGAAAGAACTGTCTCACATTATCAGTGGATATAAAGAAGTGTCAAACGAAAATCAAGCAAACGAAGTCTCCCGCCAAAACACTTCAAATGAAGCCTCAAATCAAGAGATTGCAGTCCAACATAAACGAACACCTCTGGTTCCTATTTATCACGTCCAACAACAAGGCCAAATGCATCAGGCCATGGGCTCCAATCCTGGTTTTCAGCCGGCTGAATTTTCAGGATTTCCACCACGTTTTCCGTTGCAGTCTCAGTACCGCATGGAAGCCTTCAGTTGTGCTGCTCCCGTTCCATCGCAGAATTACTCAGGCTGCACCTTCAATTTCTTCTCTAGAGACAGCCAGAATTCTCCACCCCAACCACAGAAGAAACGAAGAGCTTACATCATTGAGTCAGATGACGAGGACTGAACTTTAACGCTTCACTATTTTTCTGAGTTATTGAGGACTTCTCGAATTTCTTGAATGAAAGTTGTCTTTCTTTTGATACGCTTGACTGAGTTTTTGACACATGACGTCTTTCTGTTTTGCATTTCCTGTTCCGCTTTTTACTTAAAAACCGGCTCAGTACTGCATCAATAAAATATTCGAATTTACCAAGTCCTGTATTTGGGTGATTTCAAAATGGATGTAATAAAGTGGTAATTGAACCTCGTGTCGTGCAATTTTGGTCTGAAATCATACTTGTGATTTCAAATCGAACTCGCGCTGCGCGCTCGTTCGATTTTGAAATCACAAGTATGATTTCAGCCCAAATTGCACTCCACTCAGTTCAATTACTATTATTTATCGTTAATTTGACGCGGCCTTTTGCAATGAGGGTTTGATAGCCTCTTTGAGATACAGTTCCAAAAAAGTCTGTAAAGGTAAGCTTTTGGCTAAAAGGCTTGAAAAGTAAGTTTTCATCATGATTTGTGCCAAAATTAAAAAAAGAAAAAGAAAAAAAAAGAAAAAAAAAAACGGCGGCGGGTTTAACGAATTCGACAACACTTGGAAAAAAATTGATGGATAAGGCTGAACCGATCTATTGCTGAGAAGCCTTCAGCGCTCCATTGATAATATCTTACCATATACATAATTTCATACCAACCACGAGAATTATTAGAGATGCCGAAAATAGGGGAAAATAGGTTTAAGATCCTCATTTTTCAATCAAAACCTTAGTCCTTCTCGGGGGGAAGTTATGAAACTCTATAGAACAACTGAGGCAATACGAGAGCTTTCCCTGATTGGTCAAAAACCTTTCGTGTCTATTGCACCGGTGAACCCATGAGAAAAAAACATGCTCATTTTAATGTTTGATGAAGAAATAGATGCACTTTCTGTCTGTTTACCGGCGCAAGAACCAATTCGGGATGTTGGGAATACTCGAAGTCACGGTTTGTTTCTCCTATTTTCCCGACATCTCTCGAGGGTTATCACGCCGGTACGCTGATAGAAAGAGCGGTCAATTGCCTTAATGAGAGAAGGCGTAACATATCCATTTAGAAAAATGAAATACTTATGCCATCGTTACGATTCAGTGGATTCTTTTAATTATCATCCCAAGATTCTAAAAGGCAATAGTTACGCCAATAAGTACTTGTACGAAAGCTATTGAGCTGTTCCCAGAGGGTGGAGTTTCTAATTGCTTAGAATAAAGAGCTTTCAGCTAGTGCAGACTATTACGCTTGTTTTGATCCATCCCTTTTATGGTACCCATTTAGTCGAGAGGCAAATTTACTTTTCCCCCGCTAGTGTATTGTAGCTCTTGTCACAATTTTGGTAAGCTACTTATAATAAATATAAGGCAACGAGTCTATTCTTTACGACTGGATCTTTCGATTTTTGAAGCTGCAGCTACTTAAGGTAATAAATAAGGGATGGATCTTTACCATAGTGGTGAAATAAACTTTCTATTCAATCGAATATTTTGTCCATTCATGATTTATCAGGTATTTTGGAGAATGATTCACGGTCTTCGTCTGAGGCGTTGAAATATATACCCCTCTATCAATTTCCAATTTTAATAACGCGAAAATGCGGCCGCATAAAAAAGTCGAAGTAATGAGGGGGGAGCAAGGCATACCTTGTTTACTCTCTTTTCATATAAGAACGTCATTTTTCAAGGCTGAGGCTACCTCTTTTATATAAAAATATATATGTTTATGTATATGTTCCTTTTTTGTGAGTAGATCCTGAAAACTTCCTTAACATGTTCATAAAATGTTTTGTTTGCTGTGATGTGGTATCAAGTCGCTTGTCGATTTGTTGCGCGGCTTGCTTTGATGTCGCAAACAAGATGTCTCACCAACCAAACATTTCGAGCTCTTGCTAAATTTGGATTTACAAAAAGCAAAATGAGCAAATGAAAGATGTTCTTTACTTATTCTCTGCCTAGCCATGTTCTGAGTATCATCTTAAAATTTTGGCTTATCTCAGCCTGACCATGATCGTTCTTAAAAAAAAGATTCTTATGGGAAAAAAGCCTATGTGTATGTATGTATTACCAAAACTTAGGAAATATTGTTACTGTGCCATTATAATGACAAGATTTGTAACTTACCGAGAGGAATAGACTTTCAAATCTGCGCGCAAATTGTCCCAGATGTTTTCAGAACGTAATATTCCTATATATATTAAAAATTTTCCGTTAAAAATTTCGCTCGCATTTGTTGACTTTGCTTCGAATCTTTCCTATCGTCTATCGTAATCAAGAGAGTGTGTCACCGATTAGATACCAATTGTTGAGGGCTCGAAACCAAACTGTTCTGAACTATTGTGACGGAGTCATAAACAGGAAGTTATCCATCACCAGCCAATGCTGTGAGCAGTGCCTAAGTAGTGTAAAAGAAACAGAGTTTATGTTTCTGATCTGTATAAATTTCTTTTTGTTATTCTTGAATCAAGACACCTCGTGTATCTTTTATAACATGCGCAGTGTTGCGAAAAGTCAAATTTAAGAGTATTGGATACCATTCCCAAACATTGACTAATGTAAATGTTACGACTCTTGAATTTTCTAAGTGCGAAAATGCGATGTGAACGAAAGGACAGAATTTTCACAACTTGATGGTCTTCCGTTTCGTAACCTGTTCCCGTGTAAGAAATCAATTGAATAATTACTCTAAAGGCAGAGGGTATAACCAGTTTGATATGGCCATATCTGTAGTGTCTTCATATTTTTTATCTAATTTTATAGTTTGAGGTTCTTTGCGTTTATGAACTTTTGTAATTAGCAGATTGAAACCATAGACTGCTTTTAAGTAATATGAATCAACGTGTACTCATAATTAATATTAATGCTTCAGAGTTTCGAAACTTCTTTTTCCCGGTGATGTTTGTGCCTTTGTCAGCAGTTAACGTTGCGTTACAAACAGATAGTGAGAATGCGTAACTGATATCTAGGAGGCACGGACTGAAACGTTAGTTGTCGAAGGGCCAAAAATTTTACAGTCAACGTCGAAGAGCAAGATGTTTATAATCAAACGTGTCTTCAAGCCGATATTAACCCTCAAATCACAAATTCTTTAACACTGGATAACATCGTAGGAGCTGCAAACGCAATTGAGCATGCTCATTGAATCCGCTTTCGATCCTTTTTTTAAAGATAGAAAATTGGGGAATTACAAGAGGACTATAGGAGGAAGAAAGTTGTACGACTCAAAAACATTCTTCGAAGAGTTGGTTACTTGGCTGTGAGAGATATTTGGGTGCGTTTATTTGATGGATAAGCTTTTCGACAGCATAGCAAAATCTTTCTTTGACCAATTTGCAATTTTTTCATTAAAAAAAAAATTATGACCTCTCAGCTTCCTGTCTGATAAATATTTGGTTAAAACTGATTTACCCCCACTGAAAAGAGTTATAATATATACCAATGTCAATAAACCTTCCGGAGAGACATGCCTTGGCCTCGCAACGTAAGCTATGTTACTTTTAAACGACGGATAACGCTTTTGAATAAGTCTTCATTTATTTTTAATCTTGAAATCAGGATATTATAGTTCGCGTCTATAACAAACCGCTCTGGCCACGGTAACGACATTTACTGGTGTGCAAGAAAACAATTAAATGATTACTCTTAAGGCAGAGGGCATAACCAATTTGATATAGCCATAGCTGTACTGTCTTTTAATTTCTTTATCCCATTTTATACTTTGAGGTTCACTGGCGTTTATGAACTTTGTAATTAGCAGATCGAAACCAGTGACTGCTTTCAAATAATTAACGCGTACTCATAATTAATTTTAATGCTTCAGAGTTTCGAATTTTCTTGTTTCCAGTGATGTTCGTGCCTTTTTCAGCAGTTTACTTTGTGTTACAAACAGGTAGTGAGAAAGTTAAACTGTCATCCGGGAGGTACGGACTGAAGTATTTCGAAAGTTTCGAAACACTGGATAACATCGTAGGAGCTGCAAACGCAATTGAGCATGCTCATTGAATCCGCTTTCGATCCTTTTTTTAAAGATAGAAAATTGGGGAATTACAAGAGGACTATAAGAAGAAGAAGGTTATACGACTTCAGAAACATTCTTTGAAGAGGTCGATACTTGGCTGTGAGAGATATTTGGGTGAGTTTATTCGATGGATAAGCTTTTCAACAGCGTAGCAAAATCAGCTTTCTTTCTTCTTATTTTAGAGATATCAATTTGCAATTTTTTGTTTATTTAAGAGAAATGGTGACCTCAGCTTCCTGTAAGAATAATCTTTCGATAAAAAAATTATTTGCTTCCACTGAAAACGGTAATTATGTAAACGAATGTCGATAACCCTTCCGAGGAGATATGCCTCGCAAAGTAAGCCATGTTGCTTTTGAACGAAGCATAACGGTTTTGAATAAGTCTTTGTTTATAAGTTACCTAAAATCAGCATATTACAATTTGCTTTTCTGGCGAACCACTCTGGCCACTGTAACGATGTTCACTGGTCTGATACAGGTCTTCTTGATCTTGTGGCTTGTGACACCATGTGAGAGTGACCTTTGCAGCCAAAACATCTGTCAATGTACCAAGTTCGGAAGGACTCGGCTAAAAGTAAAATGTTGAGTTCATGGATACATATCAACCAGAATCCCAAGCAATACAGTAGAACTGTAAGTGATTAAGAAACTTCGCCATCCTTTGTCCTGCAGGGTCTGTTATCGTCTTCTTTGTGTTCATATTCGTCAGGAAACTAATACTTTATAGACACCTCTTGGAAGAATGTGGTTTTGATGTTGCAATCACGCTACGTGTCGATTTAAACTAAAATACTTTTAATTAGATAATCGCTTATTTATTCCTTTCGGACCTTACCTCCTCTAGAATTCAAATTTATGTTCATTACCATTTTCACTTACAGTTTGATTTTTACCCAGAGATCTTTCAAGTTGTTCGTTGAGCTCAATTACAGAAGACATCTTTAGGAACCTGACTGTTTTAAAGAAATTGTAAGTCGTAAATGAAATTGAATGAAAAAATAACTGTGACTTCTTATGAAACGTAAAAGAATATAATTTCCGCTCATGAAGAATTCGTGTCAGATCGAAGAGATTTTTCTTGAAGCAAATTACTTTTTCTTTTTTAAAAGTTAAAAGGAAAAAACAGTTTTTAAAAGCTTGACATTTAATGGAAGTAAGTTTGTAGATTAAGTAGCCAATCTTATTGTGTCTGTGGGTGAGAATAGTTTGATTGCTGATCAGACAATTCGCACAGTACAACCAAACCTCTTAGGAAACAGTGTTCAAAGAGTTTTAAGAAATAAAAAAAATAGCTGTAAGCTTCCGTTCATGAGAAATTCGTATTGGATCGAAATGATTTGTCTTAAAGCAAAGTATTTTTTCTTTTTTAAAAGTTAAAAGAAAACTAACAGGAAACAGTGGTCAACATACTGCATATATCTGGTATATTCAGAGGAAAAATTTATCAAGGTTGTGAACGAGTTTGAAAATGGTCTAGAGATTTCCCGAACCATCTACAAACGCGAAAAAATCAAAAAGTTAACCATCTGATTACAAGTTATATCTGGGTACTCATTGATGGTTCAATAGTTGACTTACTATCTATGAGCTGGTAGATTTCGATCACTAGGATACTAATATCGTCCTTCTAATGAAAAGTAAAACAGGAAAGGGCAAATAATCTTATGTACTGGAAACGTTTGTCTTTTGGAAAATTTTATGCTTAATCTTTCGAGAATAAATTAATTTCCTTTTTCTTTTTTCATGAATTATCTCTCTCTTTCTAGGGACTTATCAAATAATTCACTGCGACACATTCCTCAAAACACTTTCCGCAATATGAAGAAACTGGAAATAATGTAAGGGAATTCCCAATGATTTAATTTAAACAGTTTACAAAATGTGGTTGGAATATCCTACTATCCTTGTAGAGTCTACCTCTATTTTTAATTATATCGACTTTAATTAGCTTTGTTATGATAAACAACTATTCACCTAAGTGGGTGTGGCTTGAAGTGGATATTTACCGGGCCAAGAAGAGGCGAGATAAAATATCCCTCACTAGCCACTGACACTAAGGTGAATAGTATTTTTAGCTAGTATGTAGTAAAACAGCGAGATAGTGTAACGTATTACTTTTTCCTCGATGCGTGAGCGGGTGGTATTCTACAAATCCTGCAATCTGATTGGTTTCGAGAGGGCGCAGTATTCTCCCGTCTGGCCCGCTCACAGCGGGCGGCACCCTAACCGTTGCATGTTCAGTCGCCTATACATCCCTAGCTCAGTTGCAAATTTTCATAAATAAGTATTTTTTCGCCAGCTGAGAAGCATTTTTAAGCAAAGACATCGGTCGCGACCTTAAGCTGATCAATAGCTTAATAACCCAATAATTCTCTCTCTCCCTCCCTCTCCTTTCTCTCTCACTCTCTTTTAAATCACTTTGGTTTTTCATAATATTTGTTATCATTTCTTCCCAGAGATCTTTCCAAGAATTCAATTTCAGGAAGTTTTTACCTTCCAGAAAACGTTCACCATCTGTGAGTTATACTTGATGAAGTGCTTCTTAAAGCTGTTTGCCACAGAATTAAAGTGCATCTAGTTTTACTGCTAAAATGTTGCTCAATTTTAGCTTGTATTCTCAAGTCATTATGAATAAAATGATGATGATCCGCTACCATTAGCTCTTCCTTTCCTTTCGTTTGTCTTATTTTCTCAAAGAAAACGGTGCTTAGATATGTGGATGCATGAAACAGCGTATTATAAATGAGGCTGCATGAATTATTTTAGCCCACTTTCTAACACTTATAAACTGATTTTAGATATTGCATTTGTTTAGGATAATCAGTCACAACTTACTATCAATTGCTGATGTGAAGGTCATTCTTAAAGGATTAACACGGCTTCACAAACTGTAAGTGTCACCCTTTTAAATGATTTAAAAATCACAAAAAAATATTTTCGAATGCTTTAAGCATATAATCGTTGGAAATATTCGTCAAATACTCCTTCATCACAGTTCACATCAATAGTTCATCACAGTTTATGAGGAATTAAAATTTCACAACACATATCAGCCTATATGTAATCATCAGATGATTGAAACTCATTTCAAACAGTTTACTTTCTCAGAAATCTTGGTAGAAATCCACTTGGACCTTCTCTGCCATCAGATATCTTCACTGAGTTTGAAAATATGACATATCTGTAAGTTCAGTGGTTCCATAAATTACCAACTTATAAGGAGTATCATATTGAACGTTTGTTTCACTATCTAGTGACACTCGAAGTAAATCCTGACGTTTCATCCGTGCATATTTAGTTTAATTCAGACGCCGAGGTCGATGGCTACCTCATGAAGCATTATACTCTGCTGTGATTCGCTGTGGGACACTGTGATGTGGCAATTCTGCTGTTGTAGTTCTTGATCGTTACCTTCCTTACTTTTGGATTTTCTGCTAGATGGAGTCTTATCTGAATCGCCCCTTAAAGTGCGTGTTTAAAAATAGGAAGCGCAGTCAATGAACTTTTTTCCTTATCAAATCGAGCGGTTTTCGCTGCCGAGTAGGTGCTCCGTGGGACGTCGGAAGCCTGTGCGAGTTGAGTGTCGGCGCAAATAACAGCTGTCGAAAAAGAGTATTCGTAGAAACCTTGCATTCACATCCAAAATGACCATATCGTTACATTGCAGTATTTATAAATACGATCAATTATTACATAACCACCCTTTCTTGTTATATAAGTTATTAATAAGAATAATGGTTTTCGTTGAAAACTCTGTGCATTTGTTAGGTATTAGCTGGAGCCATCGAGAAAATAGCTTGGTTGTTAAGTCGTTAAGTTTAACAATTTAGGAACAGCTAGTTTTGACCCGACAGAGAAGCGTATTGAAAACTTATAAAGGCATGTCCCGCTCTGTTTTTCTGGTTACTCCGCGATATTTTTACAGTGCATTCTTCGATCAGCCAATACCACCCTTTAAATATTTTGTCTCTCTTTTTGTATTTTTCATACAACTTTTGCAGTTCCGTGATTGGTTGCAACTTGCAAAAAATCGAGAATGGAACTTTTCGAGCAATGCGAAACCTACAAGTACTGTAAGTAGTGTTTCAACGTTTTTTTTTCCTTTTTTGTGACGTTTAAGCATAACACCTGAAATGTCTTGGAAAATTTGTGCCTCAATAGTTAGTAAATTCTCATTTCCGCAATTAAAAAATGAATACAAAACTTTACGCTGCGCGTCCGTTCGATTTTGAAATCACGAGTATCATTTCAGCCCAAATTGCACTCCACTCAGTTCAATTACAAATTTATAATGATGATAAATTTGTCTGTTTTCAGTGATCTGTCCTTCAATAAGCTGACTTATATATACAAGGGTACAGTGGAAGGACTCACGGATCAGTTCAATAATTTGTAAGTACGTTGGCTGTGCATTACTGTTCTCTGCCTCATACCGGGTAATGCGAGTTTAAACGTAGAAATAAGCTGATTATTATTCAGAACATCTGTTGTCTTCCACCGAGTTTAAAAGGAACATTTTAACAGACCTCACTTATTTTGTGGACAATGAAATCCTTCAGTGTACTGAGGATCCAAACCACCTCTAGAATTGCCACTTCTGGGATTGTACGCGTGTATTATCTGTAAGTATTTGGTCCCTATTGAACTGAATGGTTAATTTTTTTCTATTTATTTCCTTTTTTTTTTTTTGGGGAGGGGGGGAGGGGGTATTTACCAAGAAACCGGATTCCTTTTCCTTGGATGGCTATATTAAAGTGTGCACCAGCTCTACTAACGTTTGAAAATGCTGTTTTAATCTTGTAGATCGTTGTCTAACAATAAGATCGATCACCTTCCACCAAACATATTTCAGAATACTCTCGTAATAGGGAGCCTGTGAGTAACGGATTTTTCATTTTGTGGCTGTCTTTTGATAGTATTACATAAAAAAGAAGTCACTCTTACTGTGTATCCATATTTTCTATATCGTGATTTCCTCTTTTACAAAGGAAAGACATGAAAATGCAAATGTACTTTCAACTTTTGCCAAGATCTACTTTTTTTCCTGCAGAATTTTCAGAAAACTTTAACTGAGGATGAATCTACCTGTAACACCTTTTTATCCGACCGTTTATAAGTCTCCCCTTGGGTTTTTTCAAGAGATATTAAAGTGTTCATAATCGATTGTTTTTTCGTGTCTGTTTCACTGTCGATAACGTTATTTTTCTCGTTTCTCCATAGTGATTTGTCATTCAACAAATTGCAGTCATTACCAGATGAAATATTTAATGAGCTCGGTCAATTAAACATTCTGTAAGTAGTTCGGGAAAACCTCGTCCCAAATGAACTTTACATTTAATGATACTTGATCGGATCGAGATCACCTCCTTCTCTTAAAACGTTATTTAACAACTCATGGGTATGTAACTCAGTTCGGACCGAATTTCACAACTTTCTGATCTTATGATGCAATCCTAGTTATATGCCTCCATAAGGTTTAAAATCATTTGAATTCATTTCTTTCAAAGGAAGACTACCAGTGATCTAATGTCATTTTGGCTAAGCAACCCATTATTGCCAATGGACATCATAAAGAATTTTTCTGGAGGTTTATTACCATTAGTTCAAACTATCACCTGGTCTTGCCTTATGTTCAATATCTAAGAAGAACAATTACTCAAAAAATGACGTCATTTTCTGAATTTCGGTGTTTCAGTGTTTTTGACCGATAACAATTTAAGATAAGAAGCAGTAATTTCGGCGAGTTTTCTTTCAGCACAGAAAAGCACAGGATTGAATTATTTTCATCCGCAAAGGTGTTGGTGACCTATCTAGCAACTTATGTTTACATAAGATAATTTAGTTTAATCAATCAGCCAAAAACTTTAACTGTTCCCACGGTTCTAGTTTCACTTCAGATCGTAAGCAATCGAAGTAATTCACACTGTTAGGTTTGTGTCTGATCTCCCAATTTTTCGCTGCAGTAAAAGAAAAACCTCAAAAGGTTCCTCGCTTTGACAAGACTGTGCATGTTAGTTCATGGGAAACATACGCATGCTACGCATGCAAGAGTTTTTTCTTTTTTTTTTTTGGATCGGTGGGTTGAAATGGGTTATTAAGTAACTGATGTTTAAATTTTTGTAAACGCTGTGACTAAACGCTATCGGGCATAGTCTCAAATAGTTTATGCCCGACAGTCAGAAATTTTCACAGATTTTCCACCGAAAGGTTCTCTCAAAGTTTACAAATATCAGATCTTTGTTTAGAAATTTCAAGCGATTCCGAAAATGAATTTGGTTTTCAGTGGTCAGACTCTCCGAGCTTGAGCATACTAAAATATCGTTCGATTGTCCACACTTTCAAACTGCACGCCTCTGATCAGACTGCCGGGCACGTTCTCGAATGCCACCAAAAGATTCCTTGAAATTTCCTAAGAGTATTAGATTTTTGTTAGGAAATTTCAAGCGATTCCAGAAATTAATTTGTTTTTTTAAGTTGACAAATTTCCGCGTACCCCATCACTCTTTCACAATATATTTTCTGAGTTGAGTGACTGACAAACATTTTGATTTTTTCCCTGTTTTTAGGGTGCTAACCTTCAACAACATCACTCACGTTAACAATCACGCATTCAGTGGACTTTCTAGTTTGACCACATTGTAAGTGTCCTCTATATACTTTTCTAGAGAGGCGTTAGTCAGGGCTTTGAATAACGTTTTTCATAAGCATTGTATAGTAGGTGTATAGCGGCGTAGTAGATGACTGTGCCCGGATACTTTCCCCTAGGGCAGTTAGGGGGCATTGTCCTTCAGAAAAAAATTGAAATCCAGAGCTCGAAGATGTAATTTCCATCATACTGGGCATCAAAAAGAGTAGTTTTTGTAATAATTTTCATTGACACCTTTGTAATTTGCAAGCTATTCCTGACCAATCAGAATGCCTCGTTGTGGAGCGTTCGTGTTTAAACGAAGCAAATTCGAAAATCAATGCCTTCCAGGGAGGCTCTCATTTCATCATCATTTCACGATAAAAAACCTCTCAACCTCCGATGAATTCAAACATTGTTTCATAAATTCAGGCACATCAAAATGTTTCATATATCCTCTTCATCAAATTTCGGGAACGCAAAGTGTTGCAATAGCCTCGTAAATACCGTAGGTTATATTAATTTCATAAAAATGTATTGAACAAGATCCACATTTCCGGTGTCCACGTGCCAATCTACTGGCGTAAATGTAGTCGTGGATTAGAAATGAATCATTTTGCTAATCAATTCGTTTCCTCAATTGTTAATTCATTTACCTGTGTAATTAGGATAGATGGCACATTTATAACGTCATGTCCCTTATCATCTACCTTATAAGTCAGAACTTTGCTATTCTTTCTATTTTACAGACTGCTGATCAAAAACAAAATTACATTTATTGCCAAAGACGTTTTTTATGAGACTCCCAGCCTGAAATCATTGTAAGAGTAAACTTTGGTTCTGAGATTTCCTCATATTATGTAATGCTGTATCACGTGCGCAGTCAAGAGAGGATAAAGTGTTACCGCTATCCTCTCTTGGTATTTTAGATAAGCCTTTATACATAAACTACCATGATATATCTATTCTGTAAACACAATGATAATTAAAAAAATACGTAATTGCTCGTATTTCGAAATTACTTGGAGGTGTTTCCACTTCTTGTTTTCATTTTAAGTTATATTGTAAAATATGATATGTGTTTCTGTTTTTAAAGTAAATAACAATTGTCGTTGTTTAGAAAAAAATTTTCTCTCCTCCTTTCTTCCTTCCCTAAATAAAAATTTGCTATTTTTTTAACTTTGATAGTTATTTGATTATCAGTGTAACATGGGAATAACCAGAACCAATGTTTTTGAGGGTAAGTATACTAAGAACCATCAAAATGGCTTTAAAATTCTGTCAAATATTCAAAGCCTTATTCCGAATTCCAATTTGCAATGCATATACGACATCTTTATGTGTGTTGTGCAAGTGGATAATTGCTTCACCAAAATAATTTTTTTCCCGTAGGTTTCTTCACAGTAATGCAATTGCAAAAATTGAAAAGGAGGCTTTTGACGGACTCGATCTGAACCAGTTGTGAGTAAATTGAAGAATAAAATGATTTCCTTGGGAGCTAAAACTTGGGATGTGATACATTAACAAACTGATATATTTTATTGTTTTTTTCTTAGCTGTTGTTTAGCTGCCAGTAGATGCCATACGCATAATTAAAAATCGCACCCACCATATCTCTTGATATCAGGAGCTTTAGTTTAAGGGGTATATACACGCTTCATTTTCAGAACCATTTTTGATAATCCTTTAAACTCATTACCAGATGGAATGTTCGACAGAATGGCAAATCATACCCAAGTGTAAGTCAAGCCGTCTGGCTTAAGAGCTATATATATATATATTTTTTTTTTTTAATAAAGAAACTGAATTTAGTAGCAGTAGTAGCAGACGTACAGATTCTAGATACTCCTAGATATACTCTGTATACTCTTGAGCTTACCTGTAAATTTTGAACCGCTGAATTTCATGGGTTTACCTAGTCATTTCTAAAAGTATTTAAACCTACGTAAAAACACGACCAAAAACTTGTGAGAATTTTACGAAAAGCCGAGAGCACCTCTAACACAGAAAAAACCTATTAATATCATTATAATTATTATAAATCTTCATTATCGTTGTTGTCGTCGTCATCAGCGTTATCGTTACATTTGTCGAATTTGTGTTAATTTTTTTTTTTTAATACAGCTTCACGTTCTTGGCTTTAATTGGTACACGTATAAAGTTTCTTGAACCTGTCTTTTTTTTCTTTTTACCTTAAGTAGTTTTCATTATCCCGTAGGGGGAGGGTTGCTGCTGCCAAAATCACGTCGGGTTTTACACCCAAAAGTTTTAATTCAACTTATTGATAATCAAATTATGTACAGGGCATTGACGTGTAAAAACCTTCGTCAGCTGCCTCTGGGAAAATACGTGTCTCAAATGTAAGTAGGCCTTAAGTTTCATTTTCTTCTCACGCTATAGAATGATAAACATCTGCACAGACGTTCTAACGGCTCATTTGACTTTAAGGGTTTTAATGAGTTTAATTCCTAAAAATTCAGCCTTTGTATAAAAAAAAGCCTGATCGGAACTAGTCATGATATACTGCAATCCCTGAGAATAACTCATAACTCTTGTGTTTGATGACGTCATTTGGTGAATTTGTCCCCCAACCCCTTCCCCGGCCAACTTTCCATGAGCGTATGAGTTTGGTTTCAGTGCTATGGGAATACTCACTTGGTTAAAAGTTGTCTCGAGTAGGGGGAGGTCAGTTTTGACAACAATTTTCAATTAGCATTTCATAAATTTATTCTTCCTTTCCATTACAAAAGATATGAAAATAACAATAAAAACTGTAAATAACTTTTAAAACAACTATTGATCTTGGTCATTTCAACGTGTCGACATTTATAAGTACTATCGGCTTTGGCTATTGATCTCTTCACGGGAAAATTACGATATTGTTTTCAACCTAGTTTTTATTTATTGTCATTGTCCAGTCTTCAGTGATTGTGCTCCCACGACATCTCTGCACGTCATTTTGGACAACGACCAAAGTAGCTTCAGTTCATGCTTTACACGCTCAGGTTTTGTGTGCCAGGACTGTGCATCCCACGAAAAACACAGTGTACGACTCAAATGTGCAAATTGCAGCCTATGTCCAGTTGGTACCTACGTGTATACTGATGAATCTCGCTGTCTACTGTGTCGTGCAGGTAATGAGAAGAAACAATTATTTTATCGTTGACATCCGTATTGTAAAAAGAAAAGTGACAAGGAATCACTTTATTTGCCTGGCTAGATGGTCACCGGTAGTGGCTTCAGCTGTTTAATATATGTGTTAGAAAGAACGAAACCTGGCTCCTACATGCATCGTTATTCCCTTTCTGAACCAAAGTACAAAAAGGAATAACTGATTAGACGAATTTTAGTGCGATTATTGCTAATACGTAAATTTAGTTCAGCAAGAAAAAAGACTGACCAATTTGATAACGAGAAACGACTGATCAGATGCCATCTAAATTCTTGATCATCCTTGTTTCCTTTGCTTTTGGGCACACGATTGAATTTTGATGGATCGTTATTCTTTTCCTTTTATGCATTTCGTTAACTTTGGAGATGGCTTAGGCAATTAAACGGTGCTGGTATACTTTAATATCGTTTTCTCAAAGGTGTACTTCTTTTATCACAAATGAATTGAAAACAGACAATAACATTGATAAAAGGTGTCTCTATGCTGTAATTCAATGTAATAGTTGATTCTCTTCTTATGAGCTCAGAGAATCCACCAGTATAACTGTATCTAAGCTCCATAATATCTTTACAGGAGGTTTTTATCAGAATGAAATGGGACAAGTTGATTGCAAAAGATGCAGCATCGGTACATTTGTTTCTGAACGGCGAAGTCCTGGGACCAAAGCTACCGACTGCGTGGCATGTCCATACGGTAACTGTTGTGTTTCCTTTGGGCGGACGGCACCTTTTTTTCAATTCAAATGCGCTTAAGAATATAATAATGCGAAGTTTTTTGTTTATTGTTTTTTTTTCTGAAAAGGCTATTAAAGCGATTGACTCATCCTTTGGCAGTCACTATCACCAATTTTAGTTCAACACACAAAACACATTCATCTAAAATGGATTATCCGGAAGTCGGATCCATCTTAGAGCGCATAAGCCGAGAGTATTTGTTTGTTCAGAGGGGAAGGATAATAGTCATTCAGAGAAAAAAGGAAGTGAATTCGTGGAAAAGCCCTTCTGTCAATGTTATGATGTTTCTATATATAGGTCTTCGACATGTTGCAAAGTGGTTGCTTAAAAATGAACCATTCTTTTCAGGTACGCTTTCTAACGAGACTGCTGAATATCGTGCATGCAGATGCCTACACAACTTCTATCGGCTAGATCGTTTTGGCCCGTGCTCAGCATGTCCACCGTACGGTTTTGTTTGTAAGAAGGACACAGGAATACTTGCTCCTAACTACTTCTGGAAATGGTCAAATCAGTCTGACAAAGAACGATACAAAGGTTTTGTTAACAATATCCATTCTACTGGATCAGATTACGACAAGTCCTTTTCAACGTTCAATACTTTACTTCCAAAGTCACTCAAATGTCCCCATGCAAATTCCTGCAAGGGTGGAATTGACTCAGAATGCCATCAAGGATATCAAGGGACTTTGTGTGCAACCTGCTCTGAAGACTTCTACTTTCGCTTCAGCTCCTGTTTGAAATGTCCCCGGTTAATTGTAACAGTAACTTCATCCATTTTGGTAATTGTTCTTTTTGTTGCCGTGTTTCTAATAGTTCTTTGGGGTGACTCCAGGCGTGCAGAGAACAACCGGACAGTTGCAGATGTCGTCATGTCGTGCTTTAAGATTGTAATTGGTTTTTACCAAGTAATTGCTGGTATTTTCTCGGCATTGGCGAAAGTCCAGTAGCCAGTCATTTTGATCTCAACTGAGAAAGTTCTAAAGGTATTTGAAGGGAACATCTTACAGTTTGCCCCTCTCAGTTGCATACAGTCTTCTCTACGGCTTGATCAGCTTGGAAAGTTCACGATGATTGTTGTCATGAATGTCTCGCTCGTTGGCTTGATTCTCTTGTATCTATTTCTTAAAAAGCACTACATCATGAATAAGAAGGATCATGGCGAAGACCGAAAAGTAATGGAAGTTAAGAGTTTGACGAAATCCTGCTACCGGAACATTTTTCTATTGTTGTTGACGACCTACCCCACGACGAGCAAATCGATTATTCAGATTCTACCTCTTCCCGGTGCTTGTATAAAAACGTGTTTCACAGACAACAAGAGCGACTGCATCTTCCTACTGAGAGCTGATTACTCCATTCAGTGTTTCACTCCTCGCCACAGTTTCTATTGGCTCGTGGCTTCTATTTTGGCATTATATCCCGTGGGATTTCCACTTTTAGCTTTGTTTCTCACTTACAAATATCGTGAATCCCAGGAATACGAAGCCATTTCTTTCGGACTCAGAGTGTTCTTTAAAAACTACAGGAATGAATTTTGGTTCTGGGAAATCACAGAGATGTATCGCAAGCTGTTCCTAACCTCACTGATTTTTCTTTTTGGATCAAAAAGCCTTTCTCAAATCGGTCTCACAGTCCTGACAGTCAGCTTCTTTGGAGTGGTCTACACCTTATTCCGACCAATCAAGGACAAGTTTGAAGATTGCTTACAAACATTTGTTCTTTGGATAACTTTTTTTGACGTTTGTCTTGGTGCAGTTTACACAAACTGGGATGAGAGTCAAGGAGGGGACAAGAACGACTCCATCTTTGTAAATGTCTTGTTCATGACCCTTAACGCCTCTGTATTGTTTCTTGCCATTGGTAAGTCAACATGCTACTCTGTTTTATTCAATGTGCCTTTTAGTCATTTGCCAAATAAATCAAGGAAAGGTAGTCTGAATTGTGGTGGTTTTTTCAATCCCCAAGTTTTTTCGTTTTCCGCGCAATGAAAGTATTGTGATAAAATCATTAAGTAGCCTTGTCTAGGTTATTTAGGATATTTGACCCTCAATAACATTGGCTCACACAATTGTAATCTTAAAGCAGATCGCGATGTTTGGTCAATTTCTCCTGCAACTTAACTCTTAACCAACTACTACTGGTAGAAGACGATAAACCGCGAGCTACAGTTAGAGTGTAATGAATATTGAGATCTTAGAAAAAAATCCAAATCATTGTGCGAACGTAATGTTAACACCGATTCTCAAAAAGCCTCTTAGCAAGAGCGAAAACAATGACAAATTTCAGAAAAAAAGGACACGTTACCGTTTTTAACGCTTTTGTGTAAGATTTCAATTACATGTATAAATGATGAACTACGGCCGTCTTCTTCTTTTACTTTACAGGAAAAGGAATTCTACATGTGAAGTCAATTTAGAAGGACGTTACCTTCAACCCGATCCGATGTTTCAGCTTCCTTTGCCAAGGAGTATCACGTCTCAAAAACTGGGTGGTCACAAGAACAGGAACATCCGATGAACTTTCATACTTGATTGAAGAAAGCAACTGAAGAACTTCACAGAAATATTTGTCTTAAACCTTTTTTATTATGCCTCCTGAAATATCTCGCTCTAGGTGGCTTAAACATTTAGAGCTTTCGTTGACATCTCTCTGGCTGTTGTGAGACTTCTCGATGACATTTCATTGCAATTATAAGCATCAGTGACTCTCGCAAAGGCTGTGTTCTTCAAAACGCAATGTATAATTGGGACAATAAACGTTGAAAATTATATCAAGATTATTTTTGGTAAAAAAAGTAATATTTTGCTTAGTTAAAAGTAGGATCCTTGGCACCTTAAAGCACATTTTCTATCAGTTTGTCGGCTACTGAATTAATTGCTCTGTTTGAACGTTTTGAATAAAGTCAAACCTTTATTCGTTTGAAGCATATAAAAACTACAAATGGCGTAGCACGTTAAATTTCGACAAATTCAGGGCTGTACCACGGATATCAAATAAGCACTTTATCAGGTCAGTATTTGGAAAAAGAACTTTAATTTTCTCGACGTTGACTTTCACAAAACTCTTCATTTCGATTATTTCTATGCTTCTGACGTGACTAAATTTGTTGATAGTTGTAAACAGTCTCTAGGTCTAGTTCAATTTTTCGCTTTAAAGTAGCTTTCTGGGTGGCAGCTAGAGTTTTCAGTTTGCAGATCCAGACATGTTCTTTAAGGAATTTTTGACTGATAAACCTAGTGGAAGGTAAATATTTTGCTCCTTTTTTTACAACGAGCCAGATTTTTCCCTAACGTCTTTTCATCGCCAGCAGTAAAGAAATGAGATTAGGGATGAATTGAGGAATGTTACAGTCTCGGCTAGGGGGTGTAACAGATAATGATGCAATGCATCATTTTCAATCACCATGTAGTCAGGGAGGTTGTCATGAGTAACGAATTAAAAAGCTTGCGGTTGTTGCGCTAATTTATTTTTGGTTGTTGTTTCACCCGCGTTAATCTCCATGTTCACTTTACTTTGTCCGTGTGAATTTGCCGTTCGTGACAGTTGGGCAAATGAACCGACCAAAATGTCGATAAGAGTCAACGAGAAAATACAGAATCTGAAAGTGAAATGTTCAGTGAACTTCAGCCGAATTGTGGCTCATAAATACACGCAAGTTTTTTCACATGACAAGCAGAAAAGTGTTCAAGGCATGTGTTTTATGAATGAAAGACAGCCGAATTTACCGGAACATGAAGATCGCTCAGGATGACAGCGCCATAAAACTCGGCTACAGTGACTGATGTGGCCTTCCACTCACGTATCGGAAAGGATATCAGAGCAAGCTCTTATTTTTTCACTCGAAGGGCGGCCGATGTAGTTTTTGAGGCTTGTTTCACTGCGATGATCGGAGATCGCCATGATGAGCCAGCCGCGATGGACCACAGCATGATCACAGTCCCTCTGACACCGCCATGACTAGTAAGAATTTGAACAGTTAGGCCAGTTTGGTTATATTTTTCATCATTCCTGTTTTGTTCTGTTTTGTTTTTGAACACAAAACTTTATATGATACACGGGTGTTAGCTGTGTTTGATTTTTATTACCGTACGTAAGCTTGCAATCTAAGTGAGCGTGAAAACCTTTAAAACTCGGCTGTCCATTTTGTTTTCTCTTTGGGGATTTTCGTCTCTGCTCACGTTTTATTGACCTAAATTACGGCACCTTGCATGTTTACGAAGCTTGATTTGGTTCTTCTGTTGCTACTCGTCGGCTCGCTTGCTCCGACATTTCCCTTTCAATTATTGAAGAAAAGCTAAAAGGCCGGACAAAGTACAATTTGGCAGATGCTGTGACAGCTTAAGCTCAGCTTTATGCTCTATACTCTCTAGAGCACGTTCTTTCAACAAATGACAGCGCGCATTATGTTCAAACTTTATTATAAACTAAATTGGCGGAAGGCGCGCCACACATTAGAGAAAATAGCCTGAAAATCACAAGAGGGGAGCATGTTTTTCTTGTTTTCACTAAGATCACTTTGAATAAACCACTTTTACCATATGGCTTTTGAAGAAGAGAGATCATAGAGGGCCCCCTGTACCTTTGCTGTTGCTTTAGAACTTCTAGAAGAAATATCAAAACGGGTATAAAAACTCGCTTTTTTACATATTGCTAATATGAGAAACAGCCCTTTGCCTACTTAGAGACGTAGTTTTGTTAAAGGGAAAAACTCTTTAGCTGTTTTACCATGCGGTTATTTTAACTTGATTGTTAGGGACGCCTTGTGGAAATTGTAAGAGATTGCAAAGAGTGGAAATCATATCAAATCGTGATTTTCTGGAAATTTCGCTTTTTGACTCGGCTTTTCCGCTAAATTTATCTTGCACGGGCTCCAGTGGGACTTTTTCCTTTTTCAAAACTCCCTCTGGTATGTTAATTTTCTCTAAGCTGCACCTTCTCTAACAACGGGACACACGAGCAGTGATTAGAACTGAAATTGAACAAGAGGAGCCAAAAGAAACGGTTTATAACAACTTTACAAAAAGGGATTAATGATAAAAACGACAAGTTTTTGTGAAAAATCAACAAATAAAACAGTTAAGCATCTAAACTAACCTATGCCGCGTGTATAATGTATGACACTGATAAAAAAAAAAGGGGAAAAGAACATACAAAAGCTATAGTTCACAATTCCACAAATTGTAACACCTTACTGTCGGCAACCAATACTAAGACAGTACTGACCCGCCCTCTTATTGTTCTCATTTCCTATGCCGGTTTTAGATTTCAGGCTTTGTCACAAATGAGCTGATTCCCCCGCCACAAAAACGTAATATATGGATTTATTTAAAGTTACCAAAGTTATCTTTAATGATTTTTGTTAGATTTTAAAACCTTGTTTTACAGTATCATTGATTGCAACACTATTTGTATGTCTTTCCATGCCTATTTTTTCCTTCTCTTGAGTCTTGACTCTTGCTTGTCCTGTTCGTCTCTTACCATACCTTGCCCACAATCTCAAAACAGAGAAACATGATATTCTCTTCATTGAAAAGTTGAACTTTCATCTTATAGGTTCGATTCTAATTGATTGAAGAATAAAATGAAAGTAGAATGACTAGATGCATTGATTTATGGCCCTCTCTTGTTTCCAAGAAAAATCAGATCAAACTATGCCCAGCTTGATAAAAATCGTCATAATGATAATGATCAACACCACCAGCCGTCATGATTACTTTTGAAAAAGCGCGTAGTCAATGTAACGGTAATGACGATGAGGAAGAATGGTTGCTAACGCTTAAAGCTCATAGGAGCCAGCCAATATTGAATGAGCGTGCAAAGATGACAAAACGCTCGACTGGGAATTATTTTAATGGAGGAGGGGTTAGTCTCTAAAGAAACTGTGGTGTTGCTTCGATGCATGGCCGTGTGGGGCGAACAGGAAAATTTGGTTTTATCAGGTGAGTTGATGACGTAAACTGGCCACCATAAAGAGTTTTCAAAGTTGACGTCTCAATCGTTAGCCCTGGGTCGGAACGAAGGGCTAACTCTTTAGAAACTCTTCACTGTGGCTGATTTACATTTTTAACTCAGTCGATAACACTAAAATATCGGGAAATCTTTAGGTCTGGATGGTGGCTAACGAATCTTATATCCTTAAAAAACCAGACTTTTTAGCCAATAGGACGAGTGCTTACAATAGAGTGCGGCTTCAGTCTCGTTGAAAAATTTAGGTAAGTGCGGTCGTGAGGAAGATGTATAAACATCGTATAAGAAAGGACGAAAACTACACCATTCTGATTGACAAGCAGGAAAAAATCAGGGAGAGAGAAAAGACTGAAATGCGGCCGGGGCTATCAGATAGGAATCACAAGCACACCCGATTACCTTCAGAAATGGAGGAAGGGACGGCAAATTCTCAGATACAACGCACACTTTGGTTTCTAGAAGACAAAAATAAGGTAAAGGTTATTCAAATTGGAAACGCCGTGCACCAAGAGCAATATATAACATTGATAATTAATCAATGAGGATAGATTGCCTGATTTTTCATTGCTATTTTTTGGTTTATTTTGTTTTTCATTCGAAGCTGGCTGTTAGAGATAACCAATAAAGCAATTTGGAAAGGTCATCGTTCTTAATTCTAAACACCTCTTGATGCAGTTCACAGCGTCAGTTCAAAACCAATTTGGAAAAAGGAACTGTTTGAATTTATACCAATCTTGGAATATATGTATGACTATAATCACAGGGATAACTATAAGAAAAACAGGAACTAGGCGTAAACAAGTATTAAAACAAAAACTAAGATGTGAGGTTGACATTCATTGACTTTTTTATTCAGAGGTACCTTGTGCTTTTCTCAGTTGATATGATTAGCTTCCTTGAGTTTAAGCTAGAATTTTATGGAGCAGAACCCATAATTTTGACTTAATCTGCAGAGCAGGATATTTGATCAGCTTTAAATGTAAATGTTTAAAAGATTTAATATAAAAAAGGCCTCTTAATCCTCTCTTGTTTTCCTTTTCTTTCCTTTCTTTCCTTCATTTCTTTTATTCTCTCTTTCTTTCTCCCTTTTTTACTTATTAACTCTCTTTTTGGAAGACAACTTACCACCAGCAGGTAAGCTGCACATGCATGGGTACACATCGCAGATAACGTCGTACCTGCCCTTTAAAATAACTTGGCCGTCTGAGAACAGTCCGTATGAAATGGATGTTTCAAGAACATCTACCGCTATTAGAAGCAAGCACTAGTTAGAACGCGGCACAGATCTTCGTGTACTGAGGAAGTAGTATCTGCTGTGCATCAAGGGAAGTTAGAAAGGGAGGTCGAACCGCTAAGGTTAGACAGCAATCGATAAAAATTTTAACAAATACGGAAAATAGAAAATTACTTGCGATTAGAGTTAACAACTTTAAGCATTGCAGGATACATAATTGACAATCATTTTAGTATACCTCGGTGTTATACGCTGACTTGAAATCTGATTTCCCGAGGCCTTCAATTCCGAAGTTTCGAATTGCAATCGCACAAAGCGTTCTCTCGCAACCTCAATTCTCAAATCCT